TATTTTAGTTATTTTAAAGTGAAGACAAGGCATACAATGTACTAGTTTGACGTGAATTGAGTAGCACCTGAAGATGGCATCCTTATGCCGAAACATGTAGTGAGAGTGAGAGAAGAAGATAGACAAGTGTATGCACTGCAAGACGGAATAAACAAATCATGAACTTAAATCAGTGCAACAGGACGCTAAAATATAACATTGTTAAAAAAAGATATTATATTGAAAGTGCAGTTGTTATGCTGATGGCCATATGAAAAGTCATTATGACTTGTTGAAACTAGTTATTTCACTACATGGGCATTGATGTTACTACTGATATCATTCACTGCATATTTGGCTGGTTTCCATTCTTTTTGTTAGAACAGTGAGCTACATCTTAATGTCCATCATTCAGAATTGTGAGCATCAGACTTTCACTGGAAGGTGAACAAAATCCAGCTGGTGGTCATCCGGTCTGTGTCTGTGTTGCTGTAATTCATACTCCATATCTGCGAACCATTATCACTGTAATGAGATTAACCAGTGGCAGTAACGTGTTCCATGGGTTTCAGAAAAGGTAGTATATGGATTAAAGTAAGAATCTTTTAATAATTTATTATTTTCTGTTGTTAAGGTACAGAGAGGATGGCAAGATCAAATATTTATGTGGCGCTGAAGAACTACGGAATCCAGAGAGAAGTACACTTGAAGTTTGTTTTGAAGATATTGAAAAGTATAACCAGAATCTGGCAGCCACAATAATAGAAGAATATTACAGGTGAACTTTATATACACACATGCTTTTGTTTTCCAAACTCCCTTTGGGGTTATGGCTGCTTTTTCCTACATCTTTACTGTCTCATGACTTGTTTTATCATTTTTCACCCATATCTGCATGAGAGATTAGGTAAATATATGCTTGTTTTTTTGGAAGAGTTCTACATAAATGTGCATGCATAAGTAAACTGGGCAGCTGTGAATGGGAGAAATTAGTTTTGAACTCATTGTACTAGATTGCATGAAACTGTTTTCATAACTAAAATATAGTTATTTTCAAAGAAGAGAAAGCTTACCATTGACATGGAGATTGAAAGAAATTTAATTGAAAAAAAGAATTTATTATGAGTTTGTGAAGGGCACATTACACTATCTGACACAGATGTCCTCACAGTGAGAGACATGGCATCACTGTGAATATGGGAGGCCGGCATGTGTATGCTGTGATCTCAATTGTGCACATATCCATTCATCAGATCTGCACATTTGCACATGCTCACCCAAGGATAATCGAAGCTTGGCCCTGTCCTGTATAAAACAGATGTGTAGATCTGAAAGCCTTTCTTGAAACATTATCTTTTATTCTGATCACATTGTAGACCGTTTATTTTTCAGTTTTTCTTCATCAGTTGTTACAAATTGTTTCTGTCATTTGAAATTTTATCCAATGTACGTGGGTAGGCTGAAAAGTAATGCACACATGCTTGTAGAGCGCGAACAGAAACAAATAGCAAGATCGGCCAAAAGTACATTAAAGTACAATTCTTAAGTTTCAAAAGCATATATTTATTTTTCAACATAGTCACCGTTAAGGCTAACACATTTCTCCCAACGTGTAACAAGTTTTTTCATTCTGTCACTGAAAAATTCTTCCGACTTTTCTCGAATCCAGGTCTTGACAGCTGCCTTCACCTCATCGTCCGAGGTGTAATGATTACCCTTGAAGTCCCTCTTGAGTAGAGGAAAAAAATAAAAATCGCAAGGCGCAGGATCGGGGGAACAAGGAGGGTGTAGAATCGGTTCAAACTTCAGGTTTTGCAGAGCCTCTTCAGTTGCGCGCGAGGTGTGTGGACGAGCGTTGTCATGTTGCAAGATTATTGGCGCCAGGCTGCCTCTAACATGACAAACTCAACGCCGGAGGTGTTTTAGAGTCTGTATGTACTGAGAAGAATTTACCGTTGCCCCTCGTTCCAGAAAATCGGTCACATAAACTCGGTGAGCATCCCAAAACACAGTCAAAAGAAGTTTTTTGGCGGATGGTTGTGTTTTGAACTTTTTCGCCTGAGGAGAAGACGGATGTCGATATTCAGCGCTCTGTCTTTTCTCTTCTGGGTCGTAACGATGGACCCATGACTCGTCCCCCATCACAATATTCGAAAGAAAGTGGTCTCCGTCATGGTAGCGCTGCAAAAGTTGCTCGCAGCATTCCAATCGATGCTGTTTGTTCTCGTCTGTGAGACAGCGTGGTACCCATTGTGCACAGATTTTACGGTATCCCAGTTGTTCAATAATGAAGCCGACATGTTCCTTGGATATTCCAGTATGGTTTGCGATATGCTTTTGAGTGATTCGCCGGTCATTTTGAATCAATTCGTCGACGAGTTTGCGATGATTATCGTCTGTGGCAGTGATCGGACGTCAGCTGCATGTTTCATCAACAATTATGGCCTTTCCGGGCTCGCAACCACGAAATTTTATTGCCCATAGATTTACAGTAGACCTATCAACAGCATCGTCACCATAAACAGCCTTTAAATGACGATGAATCTCAGTAGGAGTCACTTTTTCAGCAGTTAAAAATTCGATAACAGCACGCTGTTTAACTCGCGTTGACATAGCACTAGAGCACGTCTCCATACTTCCGCTTCTCGAAATACACTGGATGAACGCAATGACCTCAAACCTACACATGCGTATTGAGGGGGAATGTTACTTCCACATGCCACCTGGCGCGCTTCTGAAGGTCATTTCATTCGCGCTCTACAAGCATGTGTGCATTACTTTTCAGCCTACCTACGTACTTAGTCATTGTGTATGGTTAAGTTTATTTGTAATTGGTTTCAGTTTTTCCCAATTTAGGGCTCTTGTATGTTGTTTTTCTAGGAGGTTGATTCTTGAAGAGACAACCGTGTAGTAAACTTCTCTAACAAATATTTATTGTCATTAAGATGAATATACAGACGAGCTTCTTACAACAACTAAAACACACCGTCTGTTGTGCCTTCATTGTCCTTGCTTAGTAGTGCTTTGGACAGCAGAAATTCCTTCGCTTCTGTACAGTCTTCTTCCATCTCCTTCTGTCTTCTGTCTCTTCTACTTTGTATCTGTTCTGCTTTGCTTGGCAGGCCTCCAGTTGGTGCATGCTATGTAGCTTAGGCACTGACTGGAAATAAATCACTGGCTTCTATAGTTCCATACCAAACTCTTTCCATGGAAACCTGATTACTGAGCTGTTGCATAGCAGTGGTTTGTTCCGCATCTTTATACATTGTTGCTAGGTGGTGCATGAACCAACAGGTGTTAGAGCTGCTGTGGTCCATGCTGTTTGGCTAACGCTTGATTCAAAGTGGGTGGGTCCCACAGTTTCACCTTCTCCAAATTTAGGACTCTTGTGTGCTATTTTTCTAGGTGTTGAGGTGGAGAGGCTGGATATTTTGGATTTGAACCCACAGACAGCCACAAGAACACACTTTGTTTCCAGTACTTAGTATATCCAAATGTTAGGTTAGAATGTTCAGAAGCTTGTCATGAATCTGAAAAGCAACAAAGTTTATTGACACTTGCAGTTCTTTCATTGTTATTGTTATTATTGTTAACTTTGAATGAAATTAATAGAAAGTCTCTTTTTATATCAGTTGGTTTACCATGATATTCAATTTTAACTTATCTCTTTATGGTTAACAACTGTTGTACAGTTCATTTATGCCAATTCTCAGCAATTTATGTCACCCAAATGTTCATTACCATGTTCACAAGAGCCCTCCATTGGTCCCTATCCCAAGCCAGATCAATCCAATCAATACCATCCCATCCTATATCTCTTAGATCCATTTCAATATTGTCCACCCACATACGCTTTAGTCTTCCCAGTGGTCTCTTTCCTTCTGGCTTTCCTGCCAATATCCCATATGCATTCCTCGTCTCCCCCATTCGTGCTACATGCCCTGTCCACCTCATCCTTCTCTACTTGATTATTCTAATTATACTTGGAGAAGATTACAAGTTATAAAGTTCCTCAGTATGCAGTTTTTTCAACCTTCTATCACTTGATCTCTCTTCAGTCCAAATATTCTCCTCAACACCCTGTTCTTAAACACCCTCAGTCTATGTTCTTCCCTTAATGTCAGAGACCAAGTTCCACACCCATACAGAATCACAGAAAAAATTATAGTTTTGTATATTTTAATTTTTATGTTTTTGGACAACAGACGAGAAGACAAAAGGTTCTGGACTGAATGGTAGCAAGTACTACCCGAGTTCAATCGCCCCTTAATTTCCTCCTGTATCTGGTTTCGATTTGTTATCGTTGTTCCCAAATATCTGAACTGTGCCACATTTTCAAAACATCTGGTTCCTATCTGTATGTCATGATCTTGCCCTGCATTTTGGTAACGAGACAGCAACATATACTTAGTTTTCTCTGTGTTTACTTCTAGACCAACCTTCTTACTTGTGTCAGTTAAAGTTTGTGTGTTTTTCTTTATGGTATCTATATTATCGCCCAGTATATTCACAACGTCGGCATAGACCAATAGCTGATGTGTCCCGTTTAATTTTGGTCCCACCTGGTTTTCCTATACCTTCCTAATGGAATATTCTGAAGCAAAGTTGAGAAGGAGTGGCGATAAAGCATCTCTTTGTTTTAGACCATTCTGGATAGGAAATTTATCAGACAAATGTTTACCTATACAGACTTTACTGTATGTGTCATTTAAACACATATTAATCAACCTAACTAGTTTCATGGGTATCCCAAACTCTACCAGAATATTATACAATACTTTCCTCCTAACTGAATCATAGGCTTTCTTGAAGTCTAAGAATAGGTGTTGTACTGTCTCATTGTACTCCCACTTTTTCTCCAATATTTGACAAATGCAAAAGATCTGATCTGTAATTGATCTGTTACACTGAAACCCACACTGATGATCCCCAATAATTTCATCTATGTATGTACTTAACCTTGAGAGAAGAATACTGAATAAAATTTTGTATGAAGCTGATAGCAGTGATAACCCCCAGTAATTACTACAGTCAGTTTTATCACCCTTATTGTGAACTGGTGCAATAATAGACACCTTCCACTGTTCAGGCAAATTATCCTTATTCAAAATAGAATTAATTAGCTTATGGATCTTAGAACATAATATTTCACCTCCTGCTTGAATAAGTTCTGCTAGACTTTGATCACTACCTGGCAATTTATACCTTTTCAATTTTACAAGAGCACTTTCAACCTCAAAACGGCTAGGATCAGGTACTAAAGGATTTGCTGTTGGGATTTTTGTGTGCCTAATATCACTGACCCTATGTACATTCAATAACTGAGAGAAGTAGTTCTTCCACCTATTCAAAATGTTGTGGGAATCTGCAAGCAGATCACCATTCTCATCTTTCACTAAGTTACTGTTGGGTTAGCAACCCCTCTTAAAAGTCATTTATTCCTCTATACAGGTCTCTAATGTTCTTACTGTTCATTGCAAGCTCATCAATTTTGTCTTTGATATATTCCCTTGTGGGGTCGTTATTAATGTTCACCGCACGCGCTTGCTGTTCGCCTTTTCTCACTGATTCGCCCTCACTCTTCATTCACTTTGTTGAGAAGTTAGTCGAAGCCCTTGCAGCCAGGGGGGGACTAGTCGATGCTGGCTGCGGTGAGGCCGGTTGGCTGGACTGGTAGGTGCTGATAACCGATGGTTGAACCAGTTGCAGCGCGGCTACTAGTAGACTCGCTGCTGCGGTGTTTTCTTGCTGCAGGCATAGCTCTGACTGGGCTGTTGTCTCGGAATGAACTGCTCATACCGTTGGCTCCTGGTCTTAAATACTGCCGGCCGGGAGGTGGAGCTAACGTTGCAGTTGTCACGGCGCGTATCTACTGGCCGTGTACGGAAAGGTAGGGCCACAGGCGAGTTTATAAATATGTGTGCAGCTTTGCAGTTAGTATATAAGCTGGAATGTATAAATACTGCGTTGCTCTGATCACAGCTGCCTGTTTGACACCGTCTGAAAGGGGTGATGATTGTCTGCCAGACGCTGTAGGAATGTTCCCGCACCCTCTTTTTATTCCTCAAACGCCTGCTGGTTTCACACCTTATATTGTTCAGATTATCCCCATTTATTTTGCTTGGATTCTGTAACCATTGCAATTTGGCTTGTTTTCTTTGCTCTGATAATTTTGAGCATCATTCATCAAACCATGGCTTATGGTTCTTCAGTTCATAATAACTTAGACTCTCCTTGTCAGAAATTTTAATATCCTCTCTAATAGTTTCCCAAGCTTTATTAACATCCACCTCAGTGTCCAAGTTTCCCAAAGCCACAAACATACTTAATATTTCAACACAATAATGCTCTTTACCCTCTGCCTCTTTTAATTTCTTGGGGTTGAACCTCTCCATATGAACTCTGTGTGATGTTTATTTGCTCACTGCCAGTCTTTCCCTAATCTTTGCCACCACCAGGCAGTGGTCAGTATCACAATCTACTGCCCTGAATGATCGGACATGAAGTATACTTGAATGCTGTCTCCTCTCTATTAAAATATTGTCAATTTGATTGTGTCTTCCCATTGGGAGATGTCAAAGTAAATTTATGGATGTTACGATGTGGGAAAATGATACTTTTTACATTAAGAGTTTTTGATGTGGCAGAGTTTACTACTTTAACTCCATTATCATTACTGATTTCATGCAAACTCTCATTCCCAATCACTGGTTTGAAAATGTCTTCCCTCCCTACTTTGGCATTGACATCTCCTAACATAATTTTCATAGGGTACCTGTCCTTTATGTTATCAATTTTATCTTCTGTTGGAATGTTAACATTCATAATGATGATATCACACCAGCGACGTTTTGGTATTATATGATATCTTGTCACTAATGAACTCTACTCTCTTAACTGCTGATACGATTCCCTTATGTACGAAGAAACCCCTACCTAATCCATGATTTTCATTCCCCTTACCATAGAAAAATGTATATTCACCTGCTGGTTCAATGCCACCTCCGTCCCATCTGACCTGTACTCCCGCTAAATCTAACTTATATTCTAAGGTTTCTTCTGCCACTGTCCTGAGCAAACCTGCCGTATAAATACTTCTTACATTCCAGGTACCGAATCTTATGTACATTTTCTTTAGCCTAGGTCATTAATCCAGAGGATCCATCCAGGTCTGAGGCTTTGTGTTCATTTTCATAACATTTTTTTTACAGTGAGGAGTTGTTAGCCCCACACCCAACCCCAAAGCTGGAGGACCACCCCTTGTTGGCTATTCGCGACTACTTATTCAATATATTTGCAGGTTCCCTCCAAACCTGGAGGGCGTCTCCTCCATCCACAAGCTGAGGATGTACCATGAAGTGGTGACAAGGGGCCTACATAACATGGCAGATATGCCAATGGAAGAACTATTTTACATGATGACAGCCAACCTTTTGTGAGAACCAGTTGGTTTCTTTCTTTTAGGATATTTCCATTCTTGTGTCAAGCAGTACGTAACTTTGCTGTGGATCGAGGGGAAGCAAAAGATGACAAGGAGTACTATGTGAGTTTTACCGATGTGCCAACTCGTCACAAAGTTCGAGAGCTGACAACAGCAAAAATTGGAACTCTGATTCGCATCTCAGGGCAGGTGGTACGGACTCATCCAGTTCACCCAGAACTTGTATTAGGAACATTCATCTGTTTGGACTGTCAGACATTGATAAAGGATGTGGAACAGCAGTTCAAGGTAACTTTCCTTTTTTGTTCCTTAAAGGTAACCAGTCTTCTTTTCAATTCTGTTCTGCAAAATGGAAGCTTTCATTTATTTACTGCCATACTTGTTCCTCCATGTGTCATCAGATATACAGCCTTTTGTTGTGGATCTGTGCATAACCGTGTTAGTTGTAAACTGGATGAAACCTCTAGCTGACATATAAAGATTTAAACAGTGATTGTTTTGACTAGAACATGGCCATTTCCAGCTACAAGTCTTTACTTTATGAGTAGTTTTCAGTTGCTTTAAACAGGGTTGGGGGGCACATGTTAGTATAGTTGGTTGAGGCACCATGCTTCAAGCCAGAAGGTTGTGGGTTCAGTACTTGATGAGGTCATTGTATTTTTCATTTGACCTAATCCTTCTAGCCACAATATGGCCCTGGTGTTGACTCACCCTCTAACAGAAATGAGTACCAGGAATCTTCCTGGGGCTAAAGGTGTCTGGTATGTAAGGCCGACAACCTCACCTCCATCTGTGATCCGATCATCTAGAAAATGTGAGTCTCAACACCTCAATCCTATTGTCCTCCACGGCCTGTTACAGGGATAGTTGTACCTTTTCTGTACAGGGTTTGGTATGAATGAAGTAGTAATGATATAAAAGATAAAGCTGTCTCTGTAACAGGTTTTGGAGGCCCATAGAGTTGCGAGAGGTTCAGGCTCTCACATTTTCTAGACAGCTGGCTCACAGATGGCAGTAAGGTTATAATCCTTATGCTCTGGCTGCCCTTAACCCCCCAGGAAGATTCCTGGTACTAATTTCTGTTAGAGGCTGAGTTGACCCCAGGGTCATAGTGCAGCTGGAAGGGTTAGGTCAGATGGAAAATCCAGTGACATTGAGTTTTTTTATTGCTAATTGGATGGAACCAAGTCCCTTGTACTGTGGCCACTTCTGGCCTCTTGTACCAGCCCCAGACGATAGGTGAAGGTGATTGTGGAGTAGTTGGTGGAATGAAGATTGGCAGGGGAATCTGAAGTACTTGGAGAAAACCTGCCCCAGCACAACTTTGTCCACCACAAATCCCACTTAACCAGACCCGGGATTGAACCTGGGCCGTCATGATGGGAAGCCAGCGACTAACCTCTTGAGCTATGGCGCGGCCAACATTGAGTTTTGATCCAACCACTTTTTGGCTTACAGCATAGTGTCTCAACCAACTATGCTACCGCCTGCCCCCTTAATGATATAGGTTTTGGAATTTATTTGTTTTTCTTCTTTCATTTATTAATTTATATTATAACCCAGTATATCAAGGAATAGACAGGTGCACCATGTGGTAATAAATTTGATGTACACTGGGATTAAATGAACATTAGAAATTATAGAAAACAATATTTATTAAAGTGAAATTGAAGTGCTGGATGAAGGGAGTTAGATATTACACTTCTAAAGATGGGAGGCCTGCCTCACACACACACACACACACACACCTGTGCACTGGAATCCACAATATGGAGTGAGAGCTTGATGCTTGACATTGAAGGAACACTGATCTTTGTTTCCAAGTCCAGTTCTCATGTAGCCAGCATAAGGTTACATTCATTTAACACTTTGGGGACTGGCAATTTAAATATTTAAATCTCCCTGGGGACCGGCATTTTTTTTTACCTACTACCGTAGCTTTTGCACTGTTCACTTTAAAAATTAATATAAAATCTCCTAATTAATTTTATGAACTAAAATTTTTTTAGAACACTTACCAATGCTCCTAGAAGTGCTTGAGGGTGTGATATTTCTCGAAACGTTTCCCTCTGTGAAGTGGCATTACTCAAAACTTGCAAATGTAGAAAGTCATACTCCTTTTCTTGTGACCTGCGCAAACACGGCATTGCCTAGAAGGATGCTTCCCTTTGAAATGTTCACTCTTCACAATTTTCGCGAGGGTATATTTCCGCATATCACTTGAGAGTCGCCCCGGGGCCTCAAAACGAGGCCTGCATGGGGTGGGAGTAGACGGGCCCGGTTGCACTAAGACTGTGTCTGCCGCTGGTTCTGCCTCCACCATGTGGTCTGTAGCCCAGGCTTTTGCCACATTCGGCAGAAATGCCTTGTATTTCGATTTTGAATGAGGGTTTAGATTTTTTAAAACCAAAAATGAATTGAAAATGGCACAATTTATAAGCCACAAGGCAACTTTCTTTGTCCACTTTACTGTTTTCCGAGGAAGAGAATAATAGGCCAAGTACTGATCAGCTCTATCAACATCAAATAGCTCATCAGAGAACAAATCAGATATATCTTGTTCTTCGAGAAATCGCTTTGGTTTCAACCGCTTTCGTCCTTGATCCATATTGCACTTGCTACATTCCAGAGGATTATCACGCAGCTGCAGGCAGCTACGTGCAAGCTGGTTGGCGCCAGAGCGAGTATAGTTTGTTGCAACCTAATGTGTTCTAAAAATGTATTAACCTTTATCGGATGGGCCATTTAATTTCCGGGAGGGGCAGCTGGACGGAGTTCATTTAAATGCCCGCCCTTCTAGAGCAATGAAATTGTAAGCATGTTTCTAAAAATGGTGTGATTTATACATTTTTATGATAAACGAACGAAATGAACGCTTCTTTAATCTAGAAAGAATATAGAATCAGATATTCTAATTTACAGATTTTAATATCTGTAAAAAATTTTTACACTGATTCCAAAAAAAAAAATTCCTGAAATTCATACATTTTCTGCACCATGCGTTCCAGGAGTGTAATACATTTTCTGCACCATGCGTTTTAGCAGTGTAAGTCCTTCGTTGTGACCTCACATACAATGCTATCTCTTGTTGAAGCTTATTTATCGTATGGGACATGTCGGTATGCAGGACTGTGGGCGTCTGAAATCGCTCGCTGTGTAATATCTGTTAGAAAGACACAGGAGTACATTCTCGGAATATGGTGTTGCCAGATCGGTCATTCGTTCATTCATTGCAGTCAAACCATTGTGTTTGTAACGATTTTGAAACATCGCAATATAAGGTTAGCCACCCATGACATCATCTAGCGTGTTTGAAGCAGATATTGAGTTCAGCCAAGATGTGAATGAGATTTTTGTATGTGTGGGCGCGAGATTATGATTTATGNTGCGGGGATAAATATCACTGCAGCTCCACACGTGAATAAGGATTCCAATCCCTCTCTGCGTTTTCATGCTGTACTTTGCGGGGATTATCCATCTGCTGGTGGAAGAGACGAATAGGTACTATCACCAGTACCTAGACAGACTTGAAGACGGACCATCTCCGCGGCCTGACGTAACTGAATCTGAGATGTTTCTGTTTCTAGGACTAATCATTCAAATGGGACATGACATTAGAGACACAGTAAAGGACTACTGGTTGACTGCTGAACAATTTGCTACACCTTTCTATTCTAACACAATGAAAAAAACCTTACACGCGTGAAATCTGCGACATCATATGATGTCGTTCAGCCAGCTGTCCTAACTTTTAACGACATCATATGATGACGTTTGTCCGATAAAGGTTAATACGCGACCTGTCCGCCACGTTTAAAAGCAAAAAACGTATTAATGCGTGCGCGGTCCACAAAGTGTTAAGAGACACAAATATCGGCTGTGTTGCATCTATTCATTCACCCTACTACTGGAAGGAATGTCTGTTATGAAGTTCTCACTTGGCGTTTGAATCTGTGAAATGTTTTCTTATGCCTCTGATGATGGTTTATTTAAACTGAAACATGTAAGGCAAGAATAATAAAAGTGATGTGACCTCTATTGCCACACTGGACGGAAAATTCTATCAACTTTCTAGTTTTCTTATGGCTTTATTTAAATGTTTGTATGCCCCATTATTAATTATAATATATAACTCCTGATCATTACACCTGAATACCTTAAAATAATGATGCATGTGAAAACCTTGCAATAACAATAATGTACTTCCCAGTAATTGTACTGTTACCTATTCAGAGGCGCCAGGTTAGTGTCGTCAGAATAGTGACTGGCTATGTGCTGGAGTCCCAGTAGGGTCAAGAATTTTCTCTTCTTTACATCCCGACTGGGTTTGGGGTCCACACAGTCTCCTATCCAATATATACTTGGGGCTCTTTCCCTGGGGTAAAGTGGCAGGGGTGTGAAGCTAACCACTCACCACCAACTAGTGCCGAGGTCAAAAAAATGTGGATCTATATGTCCACTTCCACATACACCTTCATGGCGTAGTGCTTAACTAGTTAAACACAGGGACAACTCTACTTTACTCAGAATTTGACCAGAACATTGTTCCAAATTGCTGATTAGCATCATATCACAAATATTGTTCTTCCTGTCTCTCCATGTGATTCTTTTGTCTGTCTGGGTGTCATTCTTTTTTCCAAACCTTGCTATTTAATGCACTTTAGGAAGAGTTAACATCTGAAAGTCATATTTTCTCTTGGATTTGAGGTTCATAGTCATGGGTTAGTCCTAGAAAATGAAACTGGAAAAGGAAAATGGAATCAGAATTCTGAAATATTTAAACAGAAGCAAGGATTGTATGCTTTATGTTTTGTAATTGTTGGATGGAAGTAACAAGTACACAGAAAGGAACAGTTCTTAATTGTTGATATGTAGAAGAGTTTGCAAAGGTTTTTGGGGAGTGGTTATTGTCGTTGGAGTTGTGTCTATTGCAACACAACATTTTATTACATTGCAAGTTTTGAATGCTTAAAGGCTGCCTGTAACTTTCTTGCATACACGTTTTGATTGTGACTGTTAGTTAAGAATTTCAGTTACAGTATTGTGTAAACATAATGTACTGTAGAGTTTCAGGTAATGCTAGCCACCTGTGTTCAGTTAAATGAGAGAATGTGAGAACATGCAATAATTCAAAGACGTTTTCTATGCAGTCAGTGCCAGGGCTATATAATGGGGACTAGTAGTTGAGTCACTTGAAAGTTGTGGTGAGAATTGAGAAGCTGGTAGCTGAGGTTGGAGACATTTTGGGAACCTAGAGGAAGGCAGTCATCAACTGTTGGAAGCCGCTACCAAGCAATGGCTAGTGAAAACTGCAAGATTTTATGTGTGCTGTAGTTACAGTGATCTTTGGAGGGCGTTACTCAGTGAGACTCTCATAGTTTTATAGTCACGAGTTGTTTAGAGATTTCATTAAATCTGATTAGCAATCCAAACCCTGTCTCTAGTCATACTCAGTCACTAGTCACTATAAAGATAGCTGCTAATAAATCGTTATATACTGTAGCAAGGTTCGTATGATTGGTAATGACAGCAACAAATAAATTTTGGTGAGAGAAATAATAAATAGATTTTCTAGATAATGCTTGTCACTCTAATTGGAAGCTTTTGTTTTCTACTTCTTTTTTAAGATGTAAAGATTGAAGTATACAGAAACATAATTTTACCTCTGGCTGTGTGACTTCTTGTATCACACTGTGGGAAGAACAGAGAATGAAGATGTTGGCGAACAGAGTTCTGAGGAGAATATTTGAACTTGAAAGGGTTACAGAGCTGGAGAAAGTTGCATAATGAGGAGCTTCATAATTTGTACACTTCACCAAGTATTATTAGGATGATGATATCAGGGAGGATGAGGTGGTTGGGGAGAGATAACAAATGCATACAAAATTTTAGTTGGAAAAGCTGAATGGAAGAGACTACTTGGAAGCCTTAGGCTTGCGTGGGAGGGTATTATTGTAATGGAACTTAAGATGGGTAGGAAAGAATGGACTGGGCTAATCTGATTTAGGATAGTGATGAGTGGCAGACTTGTGTGAACTCAGTAATAAATTAGGTTCAATAAAATGTGAATTTCTTGATTAGATTAGATTCGATTAGCCTCAGAAAGACTACTGCATGGAGTTAGTGTGTGTCTCTGGTATTTAAACATTCCACATGAAATATATTTGGCTGGCAGACCCACTACAGACACTTAAAAATCCATGTGATAGAAGTTTTACTGAGATACTGGGTTTTTCGGACAAAGTCCGAAAACCCAGTATCTCTGTGTTATACACCATCGTCAGAACCCTATAGTATCTAGAAGTTTTGCTGTATATGAGCATACATTTATTCTTGTACTTAGATATCCAACATGTTAACTATGTGACATGTGTGTTATAGTAATTTTACTGTTCTGTAATTTACATTATATGTTGTAATGTTTGTCAGAGTACTTTGTGAACCTTTTCCATGCAAAGAATTTTAAACTGAACTGCCTTAAAGCTTGATTTTTACTTTTGAAAATTTACCATCATCATCATATCAGTCTACCAGTTAGGTTTAATGATATTTTGACAGTACACTGTTCATAACTGAATGAGTATTACTTTCTCTTTGAATGAAGAAAATTGTGCTGAAATGTGCAGTGTTTGATATTGTGTATTGCAAGTGTTAAATAATTGACTTTTTATGTGTTTGTCTTTTTCTGTATAAGGAAAGTAAGTGTTTTATTTAAGGCATACAGTATTTAAATACTGCTGCATTTTATCATGCAAAGTTTGAGTGGGACTTTGCCTAATGAATACTGGTTTCCTTTACCTTTGAAAATGTAACTGTGAAAGGCTTGCACTGTTGATTTGTCTGTATAATTCACACAACAAAATTCTTCAAGTGGCATATATTGTCTCTTCAGTACTGAATGCACCAGTAAAGAGGGAAGCAACATTAAATGTGTTATGAATATAGAAGACAAATATTGGAACAGGAAATTGCTTATGTGGAACCTCTGTTGGGGATGAAAGAATTTTTTGAGGATAGACAAGAGAGTGATTTGTAGTGTTTAATAGCCAGTTTGTGTCCCATCCTGCTGTTATAAGTGTATTTTTTTTATTTTGCAGTTCACAAATCCGACAATCTGCCGCAACCCCGTGTGCAGCAATAGGCGACGCTTCATGCTAGAAGTGGACAAGTCAGTGTTTGTTGATTTTCAGAAAGTTCGTATTCAGGAAACACAGGCTGAGTTGCCTCGGGGATGCATTCCTCGTAGGTGAGTTTTCATATCAGTGATGTCACTATTATGTGTACATGCATGTGCCACTCCACTGGGGGCCATGTACTGAACTCAACTGTCATGTAACTGTTAGTTTTCTCTGCCATTGTGACATGTTACTGTTATGGAGGTTGTTATCTAATCAGCCTCAAGCCCCCTGAAGCCATCCATACCTTTAATGGTTTGCATAGTATAGAGTGAAGTTTCATGAGCAGTTATTTCTTAAAGCTGTGGCCTGCTGACAGTGTAAGACTTGCCATTAAGTTTGGAATTGTCACTGATGTTCAGAAGAGTATCCATGTGGCTGTTTACTGAGATCAGGTAATGGGAGGTCTCCACCATGATGCTGATGGTGAAGTTTCTTGGTGTTTGGTTTTGATTCTTCTTATCCCCCACATGGCAGGCTGATGGGTGACATTTGCTCAAGGGCCCTTTAATTATATTGTGACATGTCAACCCATTGCTAGGCAATGATTGGTAAACATGTTACTGCAAAGACAAACTCTTAGTTAACGGTCCTTTGATAGGTTATGCAACAATAGAAGAGGCTGTGTTTCCCATGTCCACAGTGACGTCACGCAACAGTGAGTGGTGATCATGTGATGTGTGTTTTTGTGATGCATGTCCATTCCTTGGCTATATAAGAAAGAGCAGAATCCCTGAGTTACGAATTATGAGTTATGAGTGAATAATGATGGCAGAAAATGCAAAGAGAGCAAACTGGGACTAGAAGCACAGAAGAGTACAGGAGGTCAGCCTGTGAAGTTTTTGCATATGAATTAGAAGACTTTATGTGTGTAGTAGTACAGTGGCATTGGGAGTGTGTGATTTAGTAAGACTTATGGCTCCAATGTTATAAATCCATGAAAACTAGTGGAAATAGACTGAGAAGATTAGAGTGTAGTGATTGTAAATTGTGTAAACCCGCAATAGTGAAATAACTAATTGTAGTTATGACCTGTAGGTTGTTAATAAATCCAATTACCAATCCAAACCCGTGTCTTAGTCACTGAAACATGTGACAATATTTAATTTACCCTCTCCTTTCTCACAAGCAACCAGCGAAAAGGTTGGAATCACCACAAAGGAAAGTAAACAGTCTTCAAAGTACTACAGTCTTAGGTACTTGGTAATGAAATGTGCTGGATCCAAGAACACATTTAAAGATCTAAGTTCTTTCATCACTGAACAGATCAGATGAATGAACCAGTAAAGGATATCCCCATACTCATGAAGAGCACTCTTATTGAAAGCTCATCTTTAAAGTTGATGAATGAGACATTGTTAGGATCCTGCCTATCATTACCGAATGCCATCCCATGCTGAACACTAGCAGAGGTGTAGTATATTACAGTGATATAGATGATTGGACTGAAAGTTAAGTCTAAAACAGCTTAGGGGACCATTATGTCTAAAGTGGTTAAGGCACACAAGAAAAAGTGAAGAACAGCTCAAACCAACACGATTATCTTTCTTTATGTTTGAAATACCTGACTATATTAAAATATTCTTTTGAAATACCTGACTATATTAAAATATTCTGTAAGAGGGAACCAGTTAAGACATATATCCCCAGTCCTGTATGTCACTTTTGGTAGCAAAGCCTAAGCCATATAACGGTAAGATGCAGATCTTAAGTTGTCAGTAGCATATGTCATGAAAGCTTGCATGAAAATTCTTTACATACTTGGACTCCTTTTTGTGTTAGTTGCTCTGTAAAACACTCCTCAGGTTCAAAAGACTGTTCAGTATACCAGGAGAGGGATATTCTGAAATTCTGAGATGAAAAGCGACATTTCCTGAAGCTTGCATGAAACGTAAGGATACGCACCCTATACTGAAAAGAAGAACCTACCCTCAGATTACAGTAACCATCTGAAAGAGCTGACATCCATCAGAACCCAAACAGATCCAGAACTACCAGTTATAGATTGGTACAACTCTACATAGTCCCCATTGCAATTCAGTCATTTGTCCAGATGTTGCAAAAGCGTGACTATCCCTTCATCACAAAAGTCAGCTGCAAGTCCGTTTAACCAGTCTATAACTGTTTCTTTCACTTCATCAGTTGCCATCCGTTTGTCACCCAAAAACTCTTTCATTTTTGGGAGAAGATGGAAGTCGGAAGGTGCCAGGTCAGCACTGTTAGGGGAATGGTCAAAGTTTTCCCAACCAAATTTCACCAACAACTTCACTGTTTGTTCTGCAGTGTATGGTCATGTGGTCATGTGTTCTCATGAAGCAGACACACTCCACTAGTGAGTAGGCCCTGTTTTTGGTTTTGGATAGCATGCTGTAGCCTCTTCAGTGTTGCACAATATGTGTTTGCATTAATGGTGTGTCCATGGGGCAAGAAGTCAATCAAAAGAATGCCTTTTCTGACCCAAAAACTCTGGCCATGATTTTTGCAAATGAACATATCTGCTTGAATTTTCATTTTTTTTTTCTCTTTCTTTCTTTGCCAGAGAGTGGGCATGATGCCATTCTTGATACTACTGCTTACTCTCTGGTGTGTGGTGCTGTAGCTATCCAATTTAGGGGATGGTCAGTTGATTTTTTGTGTTTGGATAGGGTTCGGTGAAATGCATCACTTTTGTCTCACAGTTGGATATTTCCTTCTGAGACATTCAGCAGGTGGCTTGGATCAAGCTTGAAGCCAGCTGTCCCTCAGTAAATCACTCAAGCTAATGCGTAACACAAGACCGGGTTCTTTAGAAATTCTAAACTTTGACAGGGGAAGTCATAATTTTAGCAGGGCCATTATATGTTACCCCAGGTTCCAGTTTGACAGCCACACAGCAGGTGGTAGAGTTCACCCCTAAACTCTGTACGCGTGGGTATTTCTTTTTCTAATTAGAGGAGAAAGAATAAGCAGCTTCCCAGCTTGCCTGGTCCAGCCAGTCAAAATCTGAAGTGGGACAGTCTTTGCCCAAATTTTGGGTAACCTGGGCAGATGTCTACACTTCAAAGAGGGCTTGGCGAGGCACTCCAAAATTTACACTCCTCAAAGATACACTTGTTCTATACCTCTTATTCCCATATATACACTTTGTGGTTCCTCTCAACTAGTGTGTCTTAGTAAACAGTAAAGGAACCTAAATCCACCAGTCAGTTAAGTGGATCACTACGGCACAGTTATCATTTGAATAGTGCAATTCGAATAAAGACTTTAAACTGCTAATTGGTGTTGAGTGTTGACCATCCTACCCTGAGGCCCCCCTAATCACCCAAGTCACGGCCAGTTATCATGACCTGAGAGGAGTTGAATTCCTCTGCCGGAGCTAGTAGCACCAAAGAACGGCTGCAGTGCAAGACCCAAATCTCATCAATTGTGACGATATGGACCGAGAATTCAGCACCCTGTCTATGGTAGTGTTCCAAAACTGACAGAGCAGCACCCATTTGTTTCTGCTTGTGTTCATCTGTGAGCATTCTTGAAACCCATCTGGCATAAATTTTTTTTATCGAAGTCGAACTGTGACAGTCTCATAGAGGGCAGATCACGAAACCTATAGGAAAACTTCATGAAGCTCATTAATAGCGAATCACCTGTTTTCATGAACGTGAGCATCAACCCTGTCTTTCAAGTCCTACAGGATTGCAAGACAATTCAACCCACTTTCAGGGCACAGGATTTAACATGCATTTCCCATAGGGGAAGATGGGGTATAATGAAAGAGAAACATTGCTTTTTCATAAATATTCAAACATTTTCAGTGTAGGATTTGAGGTGCTCACAATGGTGGTTGTGAAGAGTACATTTGTCTGGGATGTAATGCTGTGTAGTCCATTGAAAATCAACTGACGTTTCAGAGGAACATATTGTCTCCATCTTCAGGGTTGAATAAAACAAGCGAGATACGAAGGTCACTCCAAAAGTAATGTGCAGCATTTTTTAAAGAATTCATTTTTTATTCTAGACCTTTACTACTTATGCAGTATGTTATTACATCCTTTAGGAACAACATATCAGTTTTCCACATAATCACCGTCCCTTTCAACTGCCTTATGCCACCTTGGAACTAGGGCCCATATGCCAGCATGGTAAAACTCTGGACCAGCATGTCTGAGCCACCATTTAATGGCCGTAATGAGGGCATCATCATCTTCAAATCTTGTTCTGCGAGGGGATTCCTTCAGTTTACCAAAGAGATGGTAATCAGAGTGTGCCACATCAGGGCTATAAGGACGGTGTGGCAATGTTGTCCATCCAGGTTTTGTGATGTCGTCCTTGGTTTTCTGACTGACATGTGGTCGGTCGTCATCCAACAGCAAAACATCCTGTTTCTGCCATTGCGGTCGAGCATTATTCAGTCAAGCTTGAAGTTTCTTTAAGGTTGCCACATGTGCATCAGAATTACTGGTGGTTTGTTGTGGCATGATGTCCCAAACAAAAGCTCTTCTGAATCAAAAAAGACCGTAGTCATAACTTCTCCTGTTGAAGGTGCAGATTTGAATTACTTTTTCTTGGGAGAATTTGCATGGTACCATTCCACTGATTGCTGCTTTGTTTCTGGTTCAAAATGGAGCGGCCATGTTTCATCTCCCATCACAATTTTCGCAAGAAAGTCATCTCCACCATTCTCATACTGTACCAAGAGTTCACTGCACACAGTTTTCGGGTTTCTTTGTGGGCATCTGTCAACGTCCTCAGAACCCACTTTGCACAAACTTTTCTCAACCCCAACTGTTTCGATTTTCTGCACACACTTGCTTCCCCAATCCCCAGTTGGACTGACATTTCTTTCACAGTCACACATCTGTCACCCAAATCCATATCGTTAACACACTTCACATTGTCAGGTGTTTGTGCAGTGTGCGGTCTGCCAGTGCAAATAGGATCCCGAATATTGGCATGCCCATTTTCACCAGATAATCAGCGTGCCCACCAACTGACTGTACTGCGATCAACAGCATCTCCATACACATTTTTCAATCTCTTGTGAATGTTTCCCACTGTCTCATTCTCAAAACACAAGAACGCTATGACAGCATGTTGCTTTTGACTAACATCAAGCGCAGCATCCATTTTGAAGCAGTGCTATGGTAGTGCTATGCGTGGAAATGGGTTGAATTAAATTTGAATAAAAGCAAGAAGGAACCTTCTGTGAACCCTACAAATACCATAACTGTAGAATAAAGACTGAATTTTACAAGAATGTTGTGTATTACTTTTGGACTGACCTACATACCAGCATGAAAGCAGGTGGCAAGGGGCGTTTTTCCTAGACTGGCCAAAACACGTCTTTTCAGGGCCCTGTGAAGTCCTGTTTTTGTCTCCTCTTGGTTTAATTTGTGGCAGTGTGAGAGCCCAGCAGTTTCATTCTGTCCCATGGCGGGCCAGTGGGCCATTCTTTCATTGCCCTCCTTCCTATACAAGCCAAAATTTTCGGCCAACCAATTACTTGGCTTACCACCTGCTTTCACGCTGGTATCTTGCTTGGCTCATTCGACCTGAATATGGAGGCAATATGTTCCCCCGAAACATCAGTTGATTTTCAAAAGACTACATTACACATCATTTTCCATATATTTTGTTGAAACAATTTTTTGCATGAAGTGCAGTGTATTTATATTGATTTTGGTATGTTGATGTTCTGTCTGCTTCTCAGTATTCTTCATAAGAAATTAGAAATCTTAACTGTGTCGTTTGTTTCATTGTACCCCCTGATGGAGCACAAAGGCACAGATGTTGGTGTTCAATGAAACCACTTTTATCTGACAATTTTGTCAAATTTAGTTTTTCAGTCAGATTTTGTCAGATAAGCAGAGACCTTGTAGACTTCAGAAATCTCAGAAAGTATTTTCTATATCAAAAATGTAATTTTAAAAACATTGATAAAATATTTAAGAACAAGAAAATCTCCCTGGCTGAAATCTGAATGCATGTCCCTTTCATTCTAACATTTTGTTTCCAGTATGACAGTAGAGAACTCAGATATAAACAAGTAACTGAAAGAGATATAAGGCTACTTTAACTTTTACTGTTTTCATTTTATTTTTTGTAGTTTCATTGTGCCCCAGTTGCACTATTTGAAAATAACCTCAAAACCGATACTTCAAGAAAGGTGTAACTGACCTGGGTTGAGAGCTGTGCATAAGCTTTAAAATGTCACTGCTCAATAGGTCTAGGATTAAAGCACTATGGAGAATTGCAAAACTACAGGAACACAAAATTTTACTTGCTGTGCCTGAGAAAACAGAATGCAAAAATTGCAAGTAAACAGCAGAAGCCATATGTAAGCAGGATGGTAATTTGAATAAGTAGTTCAGCTATCTTCTACCAATGTGTCATCTGCCTGCTGTTGATGCAGAAAATAACAGCTCTTGTTTCACTGTACACTGTGTTAACCATGCATGCTGAATTATGTGGAGTTTACTTGTATGTTAAATTAGCAATAATAGGTAGTGATTTTAAATTGTGTTAAACTTGTCATATAACTGTTACAGGGGGAAGGGGCTCAAAATGATGATTATAAATTACATGTAAAAAACACAAGTCACCGTTTTTTCTCACATAACTTATCCATTGTTGAATATTATGCAGCTGTAATTTTCCTAACCTCTGTTCAGCACATATAATTATGCTCTGGAAAGAATATTCACATTAGTTATGTACCACAACTTCTGCATATGACAGTAAATATAGTATGATTAAATAGGAACATGACATCTACTTAGCAGTCACAAAATCCAAGACATGGAATTGCCTGTAACTGATTTTTCTAGTGTGGAGGTGGTGCTAAGAGCAGATGCTGTGGAAAGTGTCCAGGCTGGAGATCGCTATGACTTCACAGGAACACTGATTGTGGTGCCAGATGTTGGGGCATTAGCTCTTCCAGGTGCCAAAGCTGAAGTAGGTTCACGTCACAAAGCTGGGGAGACAAACACAGAAGGTGTTCGAGGTCTTAAGGCACTTGGTATTCGCGAACTGCACTATCATATGGCTTTTCTGGCATGTTCAGTCCAGCCAACAAGTCCTAGGGTAAGTTGTGACTTGGAAATACAGAACTATTGTTATGTGTATCAGTGACTAGTAGACAGGGTTTGGATTGGTGAGTCAATTTATTGGATATTCACCAGTTGTAACTACAGTTAATTATAACACTCTCAAGATTACTGTAATTATGTCACATAAATAATGGACTGCTTACATTAGTGGTTGCTAGGTAACAAATCTTAACAATGGCTACACCTTTACATTGTCTTCATTAGTGCAACATGGGTGCCAACTCAGCATTTGCTGTAGGACTCAGGAAAACCATGATAACCTTGATTGAGTTTGCCGCAGGATGGGCTGGTTGCAAATTGACCTGTAGTCAGCATTCAGATACATGAACCCTAATGTTATTCCCTGTCTGTGCAATGGCTATTTCTTGGAAACATTACTGATTTGTTACAAAGTAGGTCAGCCTAGCGGTAATGTTCTAGAAGTGTGTCCGGGAGGCACTCTGTTTGATTCTTGGTTGGTACACCGCTTATTCTGACCGAAGTTGTTCGTGATTATCCCAAAACACTCTAAGCATATGCCAGGATTTTACCCCAATCAGGCCATACACATTTCCTTCCAAATCCTCTACTATTTATTATTCATATGTCTACCGTCAATGGTATGTAGTCCTATATTGACACTGAACACTCAATTAATGAGAGCCTTGAATATTGCTTCTTTGAACAGACAGTGGATGCTAGCTTCCCACTGGCTTCTGTGAATATGACTGCAGATGTCTCACAATTGGTTCTCCTTCCATCGTGTGATATCACATGGGCCTCATTGGCAAAGTTAAACATGAATAATTTATATAGTAACTTTGATTACAGAAGAGTACTAAATAATATATATTTGGTATAAACAGTAAAACAACACAGCACGCCACGAACAAACACAGGACGATATCAAGAATCTCCTTCTCAAGATAGACAGGCGGCACAAGTTCAGCCCCCATCAAGTAAGACGATAGGAGAAGGGACACGAACCTACTTGGTTTATAAATTTTAACTTAAATAACAAAGATTTTTAAAAAACTTAAAAAAACTTTAATATACCAAGAAAGCTGCTGTAGTTGTGGAAAAGTTGGATTTTGTATATATTATGCATTACAAACATTGCAGTATATGTATTTTAACACTCAAAACACCCATTGTGATAGTAGTTTCCAAAAAGTATCAATGTCCCTCTGATGATGGCCTATAGGGACCGAAACATGTAAGGGTTTTTTCAAGTAGTAAAAACTTCAATAGTCACACTGGATGGAGTTGTTTTGTCTTTGTCATATGCTGCACATTTAACACTGTTTAAAAGTGAACTTATTTCTAAAACAGCTAAATTAAGATTATACCAGATGGTAAATCGACCAACAGTAACCTACACCTGTGAAATCTGGGCATTTAAAGAAGCCATTAAACATAGACTTTTAGTCTTTGAAAGGAAAATTCTAAGAAAGATCTTTGGCCCTTCAAGAAACCATGATGGCTCCTGGAGAATTAAAACAAACGACACACTAGATACTCTAATAAAAGGAAGGAACATTGTTAACTTCATCAAAGCCCAAAGAATAAGTTGGCTTGGACACATCTCAAGGATGGAGGCTGGACAAACAGTTAAAAGAATATATGACTGGCAGCCACACGCCATAAGAAAGAGAGGCCGACCTAAAGATCAGATGGCAAGATGATGTAAGGGAAGATCTAAAGGGCTTAGGAATTTATAACTGGACAACTTGCATACAGGACAGAAGTAGTTGGAAGGAATTGTTGAGCAGGCCAAAGTGTTCAAGAAATGAAGCTGTCGAGCCTTATGAAGAAGAAGGTTGTGCAAGATGTCAAGTTGGAGAAGGGTAGCAATGAACCAGCAGGTTGTTATACATTTTTCTATGAAAATTGCAATGATAGTCATGAATTAGGGACAGGATTCTTTATACACAAGGAAATGTCAGTAACTGAGAAGGTGGAGTCTGCTAGTGATAGGATGTGATATATAATACTTTGGATCACTGTTGTGATATCATTGTTCTGAATGTGCCTGCCCCAAAAGAAAATAAAATATATGATGCAAAGGATAGCTTCAGTGAGGAACTAAGGTGTACATTTGATCACTTCCCTAAGTGCCACATGAAAATTTGTTGGGATATTTCAGTGTTAGAGTATGTAGGGAAAATACTGTCAAACTGAGGACAGTTTTAAATGAGGTTTAACATTAGATTAATCATGATACTGGCATTTACTATAAACAATACCACATCAAGAAGCCTAATTGTCAAGAAGACAATGTTTTCACTTCACAACTTTCATAAATTCACTCAGACATCCTGTGGTGAAAAGATGCACAGTCAGATTAATCACATTTTATAGATAGGAGACTTCAGTCACGTATCTTTCAGAGGAGCTAACTTTGGTACTGCCCACTGTCTGGTGATCACAGAAGTTGGGGAAGGGCTACCAGTAAGTGAATGAGCAACACAGAATGTAAGTTTTGAAGTTTTCACGGTGATGACTATGAAGAAAGGCATCTTCTGGGATCTGGCACCGGGTATTCTTGGTTTTAACCGACGTTTCGGAGGAACATATCGCCTCCATCTTCAGGGTAGTTGAGTTGCGTGTGAATACAGATAGATGTAGCTGCAATGCAGCACGCAACTCAACTACCCTGAAGATGGAGGCGATATGTTCCTCCGAAACGTCGGTTTAAACCAAGAATACACGGCGCCAGATCCCAGAAGACGACTTTCTTCAGAGCAACACAGAAGATTAATATGGAGATTTTTGATCTCAAGAAACTAAATTGGGGGCATGGAGAAGGTTAAAATCTCTAGCAGATTTACAGCTTTGGGAAATAGGTGGTGGTAGTGGCTGTGGCGGTGGTGACGGAGATGTGAATATAATTAGAGCTTGAGATACTACAAAGGAGAGGCAGTAAATAGGTCACAAATGGAAGTCAGACAGCTGTAACGGATGTGATAAGGTTTCTATATGTATCACTAGGTAGCAGCACAGTCCAGCTCATGGCAGTCTAGATAGACGAACATGAACATATTCAAAGGATGGCTTCAGTAGTCAAATTGGTGATCATGCTTGAGGAGTATATTACCAAAAAGCAGCATACTGTTTTGCGTTTTTTGTGAACAAAAGGACTTGCTGCAAGCGTATTCATAAAGAAGTGTTTCCTGTTTACAGTGGGAAGTGTTTGTCACATAAAGCGGTTCACAACTGGCCCAAGAAATTCTCTCAAGGACATTTTAAAGTCACAAATGATTCCCGACCAGGCCTCCCTGTTGAGATTGTGACAGATGAACTGTGCAGCAGGTGGAAGAGTTGATTAGAGCTGACAGGAGGATAACGATAGGCAGGGTAGCAACTGCACTAGGGTGTTCCCATGGTTTAGCATACAGCATAATGCATGATACCATACACCATTCATTTTAGGATCTTAAATTATGTATAGCTTCCACCTCACATGATTGTATGTTATTGTTATTGCCATTTGTAGAAAATAAAACATTTGGTTTTGGAGATGGTTTCTAATGCTGTACTGTCCATATCAAGTTTTGTGAAAATTGGTCAGCTGGTTTAGAAGTTGAAATGGACACACACAAACAGCCTGGTGATTTCATAAGCCTATTTCATTACTTAAGTAGCAAAGGGGTCTAAAAATAGTGTGATTATGGGGAAGTTAGGATGAGGACTGGAGCTGTGATTAAATCAATATGAACAGTTGCCTTGCAAAGGGCAAGTTTCTTTGTTACACCTGGCTCTTCCGGATGGTACAAGTAAATGTGCCAGTCGTGCTTTTTGGCATTAGTCTCAGTGGACTTGACCACTCTCACAGAGGTTGCTGTATGTGCCCATTATTAAAATTTTTTGGATCTTTTCAGTAGGAAGCCAGCAGACATGATATTGTGCTTGGAGAGCGCCATGGTAATGTGATTGAAGGTTGTACTGTCAGACAGTAGAAAAGCAGCTGGGGCTGCATCCTTTCTATTTGGAGCTGCCTCCTGCAGGTGGGACCCCATTGTATCTGCTGGTTGCTTTAGCAGTTATGTCTGAAAGTAGTCTTCAGAAGATCCATTTCATCATGAAGATTGCCCTGGATGCAAAGAGCACGAAGCCATAAAACACACCCTGCTTGTTGAATGCTGTGAACACTGATAATAATTAAAATACCATATCAGCTTTTGTGGTTATGTAGCCAAATACGTGGCTCACGTAAGGTGTGATTTTGAATTATAAATTTGAAATGGTGTAGGAAGAAGCATGCATGGCCTATTTTAAGTTATATACCAGCATTTACTTAGAAATTCGTGTGGAAGTCACAAACAGAATTTAAATAATTTAGCATATGGCTAGAAGTTCTTTTCTCCATTAGTATATGCAGACTAGGGGCATGTTGAAATTCTGTATTAAGCAAATATTTCACTGCAGTCACTGTTGTTACATAGATGGAGAACCATGCTTCCAGTGATTTTGGTCTAGGTAAGGCAGTATTGTGATTGCCATTTCTGTTTTCCATCATCTTTCAGTCATTGCAAGACACTGAGTAGTCTAGTCTACCATGTGCTGATTTTCTGAGTTACATACGAGCGTATTCATGCAACTTCCGTTCATTATTGCATTACACTATAGTGAAATGAATTATGACATTCAGTTCCCTGCAGAAGCATCCAGGTAGATTATTTCAAGTTGTATTGTGATATGTTTCTGTGCTTCAGTTTGGAGGTGGAGAGTTGCTAATGGAGGAGGTTACAGCTGAAGTGATGAAGCAGCAGATGACTGATGCAGAGTGGAACAAAGTGTATGAGATGAGCCGTGACAGGAGCTTGTACCAGAACTTGGTTGACAGTCTGTTCCCATCAGTACATGGTAATGATGAAGTTAAGAGAGGTCAGTACATGCAATAAAAACTTTACTTTCAGGGAAAAAATAGGAGCATTGGTCCTGGAAGACAAGAAATGAGATACTAAATTTTTATCATTCAAAACAAAAGTGGTAACAGAAATTAAAATCATGGTCTGCTTGATGAGGAGAATGTATGTGGCCTAAGGTTGTGATAATATTAAAAGTTGAAATTGTCCCCTGTGCTTAAGTAACTAAGCACCAACCCTTGAAGACATAGGGGGAAGTGGAGGTATAGCTGAACCATTCTTGATCTCAGGACAAGATGAAGGTGAATGGTCAGCTTCATGCCCCTTCTGCTCTACCAATGGGGGAGAAGCCCCAGTACCCATTGGATAGGAGCCCGTATGGGCTTCATGGCCAATGTGGATGCTGTGGAGTAGAGAAAAATTTCCCCTGATGGGAATGGCACCACATTCTTCCTGCTTGTAGCCCATTACAATATAAACTGAGCTATCCCTGCTCCTGTGAAGTCAGTCATTGTATTGTTTTATTACATGATTGTCATCAACAAAACTGCAATTGGAAAATGAACTGAAGGTGCTTTGCCTTTAGTGTATTCAGTTCATGCCATGTGAAAAGTAGGCATGTTTGAACTTTGTTAGTATGGTCTATAAGGGGTAAATAATAATAAGAACCTTTGAGGTAGGAATGTTAGATATATCCAACAGCAGGCAACATAGGAATGTTAGATATATCTAACAGCAAGTAACACTCTGCTGTGGCCGAATGTTGGATTTATCTAATGATGTAACACAGTGCAGTACACATGCTCTCTTTGGGAGTGCTGAGAATTTAATCTCCTGCTTAAAACCACAACAAACCCATGAAATTGTTTATCAGGGTACTGGTTTCGATATTATTTACATTTAGGTATGACTGTTTATGACCTGGTCAGCCAAATAGAGCACAGCTTTGTTCTGAGAACTGAGAAGTAGATATTCATCTGTGCATGCAGATTAGTGCTACTTGAGCTTGCAATGAAGTGTGACATTTTCAAGGACTGGTTTTCAGTAGTGAATTATCAGTCAGAAAGTCAGTGTCAGATAGTCAATTATTTATTTATAAAACATTTTTATTTTGTGTCTTGGTAGAGGTATAAACCCATTGAAGACAACAGTGCACAGATGGGCTTTGTGGATACATCTGACAGGATGGTAGATAATTATGTAATTGCCCGGAGGACATGGAAATGGACAAAGAAATTGTTTTTCCACCTTCTAGACATGACTATTCCCAATGCCTATTTATTGCCCAAGTCAGGTGGTGGAAAAATGACACGTATAAAATTGTGTGAAATCCTAGTGCAAGATTTGATTGTACAGTTGCATGAAGCGGTCAGTGGTGTTTCTTGGGGGAGGCCAAGTTCATCTGGGGTTCAGTTGAGTGGATTATAGGTGAAACATTTGCAATACTGGCCGTCCAAAGGGAAACAAGGATGTCGTGTGTGTTCACTAAATAAGGAAACCAGGAGGACCCTCTTCTACTGTAAAAAGTGGGATGTTGGTCTGTGTGTCGAGGACTGCTTCGACTAGTGGTGCACGCACGTCAGAGTGTGAGCACTGAATGGAGTTATCATAAACTGTGACGTGACGCAGTTCACACCCGCATACAGTCTGAACAAAAGATTATTGTATATAGTGTGTTTTTTTTACAAAAGCAACATGTCTGAAGTGTCAAGAAAAAACTATGTTTAGGACCTTTTTTTTAATATATAATAAAGATGATATTTTGCATTTCATGACAATATAATCACAGTATATGTTCATTTATAAAAATTGCTCTTTTGTGAATATGTAGAGAATTGTATTGTTTTTCAGCCTGTTCTTAGTTTGTATTTTATATTGCATGGAACGGAAAATATGTAGTTTTTCTGAAAGTCTGCAACTTTAAAGACTTAGGGTCATTTAAATTCTGGCCGCAGCATGCTTTAACATATTGTGTCATATAGACCTGTGGCTAGGTAAAGACCCCAAAACAAACAACGAGAAAACAGCTTTTGCTATGCAGATGCATGGTAAACATGACTACAACAATAGAATTACTGTTGGAACCAGTGTTTTCTACTTGGTCCATGCAAAGGAGCTATTTTGAAGACAGTTGTGGGGACCTACTTAGTTGAGAGTTGAGTCCTGCATGGGAGGCTGTGAAGATAAAACCTGAGTGCATGAAGCTAAAGAATCTCCACTGTTAGATGCTATTGCCAGGGAACGGCTGATGAAGAGACAGCAGGCTGGAAAAATGCTTAGCAGGTGCTGTGGTGATTTGTAAAGTGTGGAGATTAGCAGTCGCACTATGCTTATTTGTATTTTCTGAGTGATATTTATAAGTGGTCAGTAAATCCATTCACCAAACCCTACCCCATCTATAGTTACACCCTAAATTGTGACAGTACTGAAACTCTGCATTCTTACCACAGAGTGTATTTGTGTGTTTCATGCGGTTCTCAAAGTCAACAGCTGTTGTTTCTCTAAATGCCATTAACCCTCCCTTGGAGTGCCATGCACTGCATGCTACTCTCATTGTGGAGTGCTGTGCATTGCATGTAGATGACTGCATGTGCTTTGTGCTTCTATTTCATGGATTGTCTTTGAACCACAAGAATTCTGCTTGCAAGTACTTTGAGATGAAAGTGTTGGCTGTCAGTTAATGTATGTAGCAAATGGATTTATAAATATTTCTTAATGTAAATGATTTCATAAGTGTCAATTGTAGATCATGTTATTAGGCATTTCATTACCTGCCAGACTTCTGTCAAATGCAAATATTGAAGATACTTAAAGTAAGTGTTTCTTGTTGTTGTTAAGACAGTAAGTTACATTCTCCTGATGAGTAAATAATAGTTATTTCTAGTTTAGGAGTCAGTGCTATTTGGCATTTCTGAATTTCGAGAAGGAAATCCTCAGAACAGTATCATATAAAGTAACATATTAACCTGATTCCAGTCCACATGCTGACCCATATTTGACATAGTATCCATGAATATTGTTCTGAGGTTGATTACAGTGGCTTATTATAATTTTGCCGTTGTGATGCCCATTGAAAATTTTACAGAAAGATTTTATTTCTTATTCTTTACAGATTATACACACTTTATTTATAACATTAAGTTTTAAAAGCAAATACATAGTTGAGACTGCAGACTGCAGTAATATATACAGATAGTCTTGAATCCATATTACTGCCTGTTTGTAGACACAAGCTGGTGTTTGGCTTCTCTTTGGTAAGGCATGATACTACTACAAGGACTAATTGGAAATTCCCGTGTTCTCAAAAAATGTTGAGTGAAATCACTTCACTTATTTCCTGCTACAACAGCTGTTGCAGATGGTATCCTCTGGCATTGTTCCACATTTTACACTGTCTTTGTAAAATTCAGTGACATGTTGAAGTTCACCCTTTGTGATTTCTAAGGTAACAGTCTGTAGGGTTTGTCATTTCTCTAAACTTTATGTTTCATATTTGTTGATAGATAAAGATACACATTGCTAGATCTAGGGAACTGAGATGGAGGAGCATGTAGGGTAATGTCTGTCTTTTCCTATCAACCCTTCTGCTTAGGATCACCCCCAAATAGAACATAATACTATTAAACCAGGGATATAGTTGTAATAGATCTTAGTGGGTATGTAGTAAGGAAATAAATATAGTAAGAAGAAATACCAGGGCTATTATACACGCAATAAGCACACATCGTTACAACAATGACTGTTGATCTTAGTGTGGTTCTAACTTGGTTGCATGTTTAACAAATAATACAGGCTAAAGCCATTGAGAAACAGCCATATAGAATATAAGTGAAATTTAATACTGAAGTTACTTTAAGCCGAAGGGAGGGTAGGGTTAATTGAACAAGTAGAACAAACAAAGGGAATTCCCTGGAGGTGAGTAGAACAGATGAGCTGAAAGTCAAATTTAGAATCCTCAGCCGAACACAATTTGGATGTATATTACTACACAACTCCGATCTCAAAAACAGATGGCTTGAGTAACCACCCAACCAGTGAGGAACTGGGAGTTGTCTGTCTCAGAATTGTATAGGATCAATGTTTGTTCACTCTAGTTCTAAGGGACAGCCAATGGGAGCATATTTGTTGGCTTGCAATTTTCCTCCTAGCCTTTATGTTCCTGTGGTTTTCCTAGTGCATTTTACTCTGCTTGCTGTCTGCTTCATGGTGATTTCTTGCTTGGTTTACTCTTCAGCCCTGGAGATGAAGGTGATATATACCTTTGAAACATTGGTTGGCTTTCAACAGACCTCATGGCATTATATCACAGAAGATAGAACTCTTCATAGCTACTGCTGTAAGAAGCTCAAATCAAACAAATATAACGGCTGTTTCATTAAGTTGTGTGTATTCCAGTCATGGCATTTTGAACAGTCCATTACATAGTATACATGTTAAGTATTAGTGCACTTCAAACTGCCTTGTGTGTTACATCAAGACAAATTGATGCTTTGTCTGACATGCTTATGCATTGAATTATGAGGAAAATGTGAGTTGGATTTGCAAACGTGCAGCAAGTAGTGGGTGGGATGTCATTCATAAAGGATGGCACCTAATTAGCAGTTGTCTGAGTAGAAAAGGTTATGTATGTTTAAGAAAATCTTTAGCTCTGAAGCTCAGCTAATGTTGTTGATTATGGGAATGCTGAATTATTCTTCATTATTTTCAAATTCTCACAATAATTGAAAAGGAAGAAATATTACTGTGCCTGCATTTCATACTGTAGCATTTAGACCTTTTGCTAGGTAGTGATTGCAAAGAAATGGGTTCCCATGGCAATGGATCAGCATGCGACAGCATAGGAATTGTTGGAAGCGGTTTTTTCTGTAGTCTTCACTGAACTGCAGCAATAGAAGCTGTGTTTTCTACATGGTCCATGCCAAGGGGTTGTAAGCGGGACAAAGTTTAGATCTTAGTTGAAAGTCAGTCTGTGAAGTGAAGACTAGGAGGTTGGTGTGAAATGGCCACCAGCCTGGGAGTTAGTCAATTGAAGCATTGAAAGAATTTTAGGGAGTCTGTGAAGACAAGACTTAGTGCAGTTAATGCAGTTGTGGGATATGTGCCAGACAGTAAGGATGTAAGCAGACAGTGTTAAAATGTGTTACAAGAAGACTAAGAAGATGTTATGTGTGCTGTAGTTACAGTTATATTTGGAGTGTTTAATTCATTAAGACTGTTATAGTTAGTTGTGGTTATGATCTGTAAGTGGTCAGTAAATCTGATTACTGATCCAAATCCCATGGAGGGTCACACTCTCTGTGACAGTACTGTATTATACATAATTGGAAGTTAGGGGACAGTCTTGTGGTTACGTATTCTAACCACTTTGGGATATTATGAGTATCTGCCAGAATGAACATTTTTATGAATTTTATGAAACCTTTGTGATAATGAAGTTGCATTGTGCTGTATATTCAGTCTTTCCTAATTCTTTCTCCTTCAATTCTTTTGGGAGTGGAAATGTTGGCAGTACTCTTTTGGTATTTGGTTGGTAATACTTCAGTTTAGAGTTAAGGTGGAACATTGAGAGGAATCTGAAATGTGAAGGAAAAAATGTCTTTTCTATAGAAGGATTTCTGCAGAGTATTAACTTATTGGTTTATGGTGAGCAGGCATTGTCTTGATGCTGTTTGGTGGCGTTCCCAAGAAAACAATGGAGGGAACCACACTGAGAGGTGATATCAACTGCTGTATAGTAGGGGACCCAAGCACTGCCAAGTCTCAGCTGCTCAAACAGGTAAACCAGCACCTATTGTCACTTAACAGAGACCTTGAGTAGGACTTCAGGAAACAGGTCCCACTGTCATTACTGCTGAAAGATATGAAGTATTCATTCATAGTATTCAAATTTTGAACAGAGGAACATGGTTTGCTGCTGTATGTAGGTATTATGTGTTTAATATATCATTGGTGATAATGCTTGCCTCAGTATGTATGTAGGCGAGTCAAATGAAAACCTTAAATATTTTTTGAGTATTATTTATTGTGCACAAGTGGTACAAAGCTGTATCACTTTTCAACATAATCTCCCCCATGCTCAATGCAAGTCCTCCAGTGCTTACAAAGTGCATGAATTCCTTTAGAAAAAAATTCTTTTGGTAGTCCGCGCAACCACTCATGCACCGCGTGGCGTACCTCTACATCAGAACAGAACGTCTTTCCTCCCATTGCTTCTTTGAGTGGTCCAAACATATGGAAATCACTTGGGACAAGGTCTGGTGAGTATGCCGGATGAGGAAGACACTCAAAATGCAGGTCATTGATTGTCGCAACTGTTGTACGGGCAGTATGGAGCCTTGCATTGTCATGTTGCAAAAGGATACCTGTGGACAGCAATCCATGTCACTTTGATTTGATTACAGGCCGAAGATGATTTTTTAGGAGAACTGAGTATGATGCACTGGTGACAGTCGTCCCTCTAGGCGTGTAGTGCTCCAAGATGACGCCTTTTTCGTCCCAAAAGAGAGTCAGCATAACCTTCCCTGCTGATGGTTGTGTTCGAACTTCTTCGATTTTGGAGATGAGGAATGGCGCCATTCCTTGCTCGCTCTCTTTGTTTCCGGTTGGTGGAAGTGAACCCAGGTTTCATCCCCAGTAACGATTCTTGCAAGGAAGTCATTACATTCTCGTTCAAAGCACCGCAGAAGTTCTTCACAAGCATCAATACGTCGGTCTTTCAATTCAGGAGTCAGCTGCCGTGGCACCCATCTTGCAGACACTTTATGAAATTTGAGCACATCATGCACAATGTGGTGTGCTGAACCATGACTAATGTTTAAACTTGCTGCACTTTGATTCAGTGTCACTTGGCGGTTTTCCCTCACTATGGCTTCAACTGCTGCAGTGTTCTCTGGAGTCACAACTCGATGTGCCTGACCCGGACGAGGAGCATCTTCCACTGAAGTCACACCATTTGCAAACTTCCTACTCCATTTGTACACTTGCTGCTGTGACAAACATGCATCACCATACTGAAACTTCATTCTTCAATAAATTTCAATAGGTTTCACACCTTCACAACACAAAAACCGAATAACAGAACGCTGTTCTTCCCTGGTGCAAGTCTCAAGTGGGGCAGCCATCTTATACTGGTGCTGTGACGGTGTTGGTGCATCTGCACTATGTGGCCGGTGTGTAGGGCCGACATCCTTGCCGCTGTCTATGAGCTGATTGTCTAGAAAATGTGGGAACCTCAACATCTCACAACCATATGGGCCTCTATGGCCTGTTACAGGAATAGTTTTACTTATTACATTGAATTTTAACCTTTGAGATGAAATATGTAAGGGTCATTCTCACCTTCTCAGTGGATTACTCAAATCAGTTCCAAGAAACTTTTCAGCATTCCGGAGGAAAAACAATCTGTGTCTTTCTCACATTATCATATTTCCTGGTGATGTGATTCTTGATTGAGATTTTGATAAATTATGAATATGTTTTAAGTACTGGCATATCAGAGGTATTTATATGATCATAATATACAATGATCTGCAGAAGAAGAGGAAGATGAAAATTTAGAAAGGAGCCTGAAGAAATGGAAATATTCTGTTTTATAATGTCTGTTAAGGGCCCTCTACTACTAATACTTGGAGGGATTGTGATACTAATAAATATGTTGTTTGTTTTATTATTTAATAATACTGCATCAACTATTGTGACAGCTTAGAATCATGTAAGATGTGGTGGCTTGATTATGTCGATGAATCAAAGTGGAAGATAATTTAAATGATATTGTCAGTTGAAGTCAGAAAATTCTTGGGCATATGCAGGAATATGATGGGGTGGTGGTGGTGGTGGGGGCTAGTAGCTTTTGATATTGTTCAGTAAGCATTTAAAACTACTAGGAGAAATCAAGGAAAGCAAAGAAAAGCCTGTATATGGATAGCCTGTCCCTTGCCTGAATTCAAACCAAGCACCTTCTGACATCCTGCTGCTCTGGTAATGCACTCTTCTTACACTTTTCATGTTGCAGGTGGCAGACTTTAGCCCCCGAGCAGTGTACACCTCTGGCAAAGCATCTAGTGCAGCTGGTCTAACAGCAGCTGTTGTCAAAGATGAGGAGTCATTTGACTTTGTGATAGAGGCTGGTGCCCTTATGCTGGCAGACAATGGTATATGCTGCATTGATGAGTTTGACAAGATGGACCCTCGTGACCAGGTGGCAATCCATGAAGCTATGGAACAGCAGACAATCTCATTAGCCAAGGTGAATAGTGTAATCCAATTGTGAAGTTTAAGGGTTTAACTGGTGATGTTTATGTGCTCGGCCAGCCCACATTGTAGGTCTGTTTTCAACATATTATGTTTTTCTAGAATGTCTAACGTAGTAAATTTCTGATTCCACACACTTCTTCAGTTCTTCTATAGGTGTACTCCATGGAAACCCGCACACATAAACACTACTGTAGTAGCACTTAGCAATATGGACATTTTTGTCACAGTGCTGGGGTAGTATTATGTAGCAGTGAAAGGATTAATAATAATAAAATGCAGAGTTGCCCTGGGTTTAATTAAGCACCATGCCATGAAGATGTACTGGAGAAAGGAGGTGTAGCTCCACCATTCTTTACTTCAGCACTAGGTGGAAGTGATTAGTTAGCTGTAAACCCCAGCTGCTTTACCCATAAGGAAATGGTCACTGGTACACATTGTATATGAGGCTGGATGAGCCCTAGAGCTGGTCTGGATGCAGTGGAATAGAGAAACAAAAAATTCTGGGGAGAACTAATCACTACTTTCCTCTGATACGAAATGAATCACATAGAGAACAATACATCCAACAATTCTCATATTGTTGCATGTGTATTCATTGCTGCAGTGACATTTTTACTGAGCTGTTGCCTAGCAATGATAGAGGGATATATGTGGGGCAATCCAAAAGTTTCCGAAATTTGAATTTTGCACGCGAATGGTTATGAGTACATCGAAATACCGCTAGGTGTCTCCTCACACATCCTTCTTGAATCAGTGTGGCAAGCGGCGTCGAGTTGTGTGGTTGGGTTTATTGTTGGTGAACTTGTTTCCATTGTTGTGTTTCCGTGAGTTTGCGGTTTTGCGATGGCTGACCTGAGAGAGCAGCGTGTTTTGTTTCAAACTTGGGAAAACTGCTGTAGAAATGCACCAAATGTTGAAGCAAGCTTTTGGTGAAAACAGTTTAGGCCAGACAGAAACTTACAACTGGTATAAGCGTTTTAAAAATGACCGAACATTGACTGATGATGATGACAATTGTTTGGGATGGCCGTCAATGGGCAAAACACCAGAAAATGTTGCGAAAGTTAGGGATCTGATTCTGCAAGATCGTAGACTGACCATCCAAGATCTCTGTAACACCTTGGGACTAAGTTACGGTACATGTCGATGAATTTTGTCAGAGGAACTGAACATGAGGAGGATTGTGGCGAAGTTTGTGCCACGACTGCATCAAAATGAACAGAAGCAGCATCACTTGGAAGTCTGCAGGGAACTTCAACAACAGCTTCAAGAGGATCCAAACTTTCTTTTGAAGGTTGTCACTGGTGAAGAAAGTTGGGTTTATGGCTATGACCCTGAAAGCAAGCAGCAGTCATCGCAATGGAAGAGCCCTTCTTCACCTCGGCCAAAAAAGCTCGACAAGTCAAGAGCAACATTAAGTCCATGTTGATCTGTTTTTTTTTATATTGATGGAATTGTTCATAATGAGTTCATCCCTCCTGGTCAAGACAGTCAATAAAGAGTTCTATCGCGATGTTCTAAGGCGTTTGAGGGAGAACATGAGGAGAAAACATCCAGAGAAGTGGCGCACAAACGACTGGGTACTCCACCATGACAACGCATGACCGCATACAGCTTACATTGTGCAGGAATTTTTGGCTAAAAACAAGATGGCAGTTGTTTCCCACCCACCGTACTCTCCAGACTTAGCTCCGTGCGACTTCTTTCTCTTCCCCAAAATGAAAATCAAGTTGAAGGGGCGAAGATTTGATACAGTTGAGGAAATTCAAGCGGAAACGCAGACGGTACTAAACACCCTAACAAAGCAAGACTTCCAGGATGCATTTGAAAAGTGGCAGAAACGCTGGGATTGGTGTATGTGCTCCCAAGGAGACTACTTTGAAGGTGATGGTGCAGAATAAGATATAGGTAAGATGTAATAGTTTTTATTAATATATTTCAGGAACTTTTGGATTGCACCACATACGTTTAGACACAGGCTGATTTATGAAGTATGCTGTTGAGATTGGCTCAGGTGCCATGATGTACATATCAAGTTTCATGAAGACTGGTTCGGCTGTTCAAAAGTTATTTTGGCAGGGGGGGGATACACAGCATGGTAATTGCATAAGCCTACTTTAATTTTTTTCAAAATAAGGAAAAGGAGCTAAAAACTGTTCACTAATGAGGTTAACACACCGTGTTTTTGAGTACCACATACTTTTGAATAAATCATGTAGCTCATATCTGAAAGACAAAAAAGATGATAAATATTATTATTTTTTTTATTGCTATAAAGATAGACCAAAAACAAGTGGAGAATGTGAAATGTTTTAAATATTTGGGTAGCTTGTTAACAGATGATGGAAGGTGTACTTGTGAAATTAAATCCAGGATTGCCATGGCAAAAGCTGCATTTAGCAAGAAGAAGAATCTTTTTACCAGCAAATTGGACTTAAATTTGAGGAAGAAACTAGTGAAATGCTACATTTGGAGCATAGCTCTGTATGGGGCTGAAACATGGACACTTAGGGCAGTAGATCAGAAACATCTGGAAAGTTTCGAAATGTGGTGTTGGAGAAGAATGGAGAAGATCAGTTGGACCGATTATGTGAGAAATGAAGAAGTGTTAATTAGAGTCAGTGAGCAGAGGAATATCCTACATGAAATAAGAAAACGGAAGGCTAATTGGATTGGTCATGTTTTACGCAGAAACTGCCTTCTAAAAGAAGCTATCGAAGGAAAGATAGATGGGCGGATAGAAGTGACAAGAAGACGAGGAAGAAGACGTAAGAAGATGCTGGATGACCTTGGGGACAGAAGAGGATACTGTCATTTGAAGGAGAAAGCTCTAGATCGCATTAAGTGGAGGAATTGTTTTGAAAGAGACTGTGGACCTGTCGTCTTGACAGATTACTGATGATGATGATGATAATGGGGTGAGACCAAGTCCCTTGTACTGCGGCCACTTCTGGCCTATTGTACCAGCCCCAGATGATAGGTGAGGGTGATTGTGGAGCAGTTGGTCGAACGAAGATTGACAGGGGAAACCCAAGTACTCGGAGAAAACCTGCCCCAGCGCCACTTTGTCCACCACAAATCCCACTTGACCAGACCCGGGATTGAACCTGGGCCACCGTGATGGGAAGCCAGTGATTAACCGCATGGGCTATGGCGTGGCCTTGATAAATATTACCTTTCATATCATATTGTGGCATGCAGACCTGTTGCTAGGCAACAGCTGTGAAACAAACAACTAGGCAATGGCCTGTAAACTGCAACAGAGGAATGTTGTTTTCTGTGTGGTCCATGCTGAGATGTTATAAGCAGGACAGTTATTGAAGGGTGAGTTCAGTCAGTGGGGTGGAGTTGGTTGGTGAGTTAGTGAGGTAGTTAGATAACTTCAGGGGTTCAGCTGTTGTGAGCTGTTGTTGTGAGAAGCTGGTAGCTGAGGCTTGGGACATCTTGGAAACCCAGAGGTAGGGGAATGTCTGTCATTGGAAGCCATTACCAAGCCACAGTTAGTGAAGCTGTGACTGTGGCCACTAGATTGTGTGTGTGAGAGTGTAATCACAAGTTGTATATGAAAGTGTTCAGTAAATCTGATTACCAATCCAAATCGTTCTTTAGCCACTAAGGTTGTGACAACTTGTGTCAGAATTGGGATAATTGGATTGGATGTAAGACATTGGATTGCTATATTGCCATACTATGGAGATGGAACAAATGATGGCATGCCTGCTGGCTGAAATAAGAACCGACTGAGTAAAAAGTAAAACCAGCGAAGAAATGTTGTCCAAGATGGAAGCCAAGGTGGATGCCAATCTAAGGGGAATGAAGGTTGAAATCAGATACAGTCAAGAAAGTATGGAAGCCAAGATACAGTCCAGTAACAAAGAAGTTTGAGGCCCTTTGAGGAACTCTTGTCTCTCAGATGGATATCTACCAAGCCAGGACAGAGACCATTCAAGAAGAAATGAAAGCCAAGATGAACAAAAATCAAGAAGGGATGGTTGCCTGGCTAGAAGAAGTGAAGGCATGTTAAAAACAGATGATGGCCTGCCTAGAAAAGGCAAAGGCCAGCCTGTAAAAAATGGAGTCAGCAGTGAATGCCTTCAAGGAGAAGTTGGACAAAATGGACACCACTGATTTGGAGACCAATCGAGAAAGAGGCTGTTATGGTGCATCAGGAAGTCCCTAATGAAGGGTCCACAGTGGAAGCTACCAACACTGGAGGACCAGTCTGTGGACGAGGAAGAGGCTGTGGGATATTGCAACCCACGGGAAAAGCAGACCAGGGACTGTGTTGTATGAGCCCCTGAAGGACAAATGGTTGAGAAGAGATGATGGACAGCTGAAGTGCAACAACAGTATAAAGGAGCCGCTATGTCTGAGGAATGAAAGGACATCTGGTAGGATCTTCAGGAAGATTATAGAGGTTGAGATTGTGAAGTGAATAGTTGAATCTTCGACTCGGCTATGAATAGTGAGTTACTGGACATCATGGCGGAGTCGGTCCTCTCCGAAACTAAAGAAGAGACGTCAGAAGCGCTGCCCTCAAGAAAGAAGGATGATGGTGGTACACCTGGACCACCTGGCACCTTATCAGGGAACTGTACAGGACGAGCTGCCATAAAGGGAGTATCAGGAGCAGTTGGAGAGTAATCATTCATTACTCATGGAACTGAGTCCTTCTTGAGAAACTGCCAATTGTGCAGCTGTTCAAGAACTTCCCAGCATTTTTATGGAACTTGAAGGTTCATTACTGTGTTCACAAGAGCCCTCCATTGGTCCCTATCCTGAGCCAGATCAGTCCAGTCCATACCTTCCCATCTCTCCCACCTGTGTCTTTGGCTTTCCAGTGGTCTCTTTCCTTCTGGCTTTCCCATCAATATCCTATATGCATTCCTCTTCTCCCCCCCATTCGTGCTACATTCCCTGCCCATTTCATCTTCCTTGACTTGATCATTCTTGGCAAAGCGTACAAGTTATTAAGCTCCTCATTATGCAGCT